TGAGCAGTGTATACTGTACCTCAACAGCAAATTACAGTATTAACAAATGATATTGATCAAATATAGTGCAGACTTGAATGAGATACAATATAATTTAAACTGTGTGAAAAAATCATTCAAATCATTACTCAAAACTTATTTTAATCTGGCCTCCTTTTTATTTGTAATGTTTACTTTTAAATATGATGTTTTTAAATCCATTATGTTTAATATATTCTTTTATAATTAAAGTTTCAAATAAAATTACTTGTTTTCTAATGACTACACACAATTACTAATAATTTTATTACACTGTATGTAATTAAAAAACACAACAATTTAATTAGTGTTATAAGCTATTGTGACATGCAGTATCTCATTTGAAGTTGTGGTATCAACATGGTAATAACATCTTGTCTCACTAACGCAATCACTGTCATTCAAGAAAACGTTTGTTGGCAGTATGCATAGAGTAAAAATTAGCTATTATGCATATGCTGTAGTATGATTATCCGTAGTGTGTTTTTGCAGGTCATGATAATCAGACAAATATAAATGACTCACCTAATGCAAAGAACACAGTTGTCCATTTTTAGAGGCTCCAGTCTTTTCCATTTAAGTCTGTTGTTTTCCTGCCACGTGCATAGATTTATCCAATTTGGAGTCTAAGTAATTTAAATGAATTTGTAGTCTTAAGTTCCTTAAAATGTTACACTATGTACTGTTTCTGGAACTAATGCAATTTCAAAGTAGAAAACAAGGATAGACTCTGATCTAAACAGCTCTTGTATGTCTGGATTACTACAAGTCATTTCAAAAGAAAAAACTTTTTTCACCTTTGTCTGTGTTGATGACTTTCCTCAACTGTATCTGTATGTGAAGCCAAGAAAATAATAAGGGTAGAAATTTATATTCACATAACACTACAAATCTCCACAGTGGCCTTGCACAGCAGTGCATTCTAATATAACACAAAGATATCTTGCAATCCCACTGTAGTTTCTGAAGAATAATTCAACAAAAGATAAATGATAATCCAGAGTTACACACCTAGGGAATTTTAACATTCCGCCTTCCAGACTAAAACATATCTAATTATGAAGAAAGATATAACACTGCATTTTAGCTTGCATTTCAAACACCTATGCAATAACTGTGTTGTACAAGCATACTTGTAACTGTACAACTAAAAGTAACACTGAAACAGATTCTGTGTTCATCTTTAATTATAACAAATATTCAGCCTTTCCTGTCTACAGTTATTTTGATTAAAATCATTTGTAGCTGGCAAAGAGAGGGGTCCAAGATCCCTGATTGCTGTTCCAACAAGAGCCTTGTCGTTGTTTAGTATGTCTGTGCTGTTTTCTTTATGCAGTGAGAAAATGAGAGTTAATCAAGCTGGTGTGAATGTTACTACAATTAAGACATATTTGTTTTAAGTTTGGGATCGTCAATTATTGCTCCAACATGAAAACAATAGCAATCAATCAACTCACTTGAGTTGCAGCTGGACCCCTGATAAGTCACAGCTACAGTATGACCATGCCATTTCCCCTCAAGCTACAGGTCCTACAGTGCCTACTGTACATACAGTAGGCAATCATAGCAATGATTGGAGGACTCATTTGACTCTCAGTTAACACTGCAAGCTCACAGACACCAGGGGGTCACTTTTGCATGGCAATCTGAGGAGACACTGACTGACTGAAACCCGCCTAACCACCACTGTGCTCAACAAGTTATGTTTGTCCACTTATAAAATCCAGCTAAGAGTTACATAATGAAATAGCCATGGACGGAACGTAAGGTTCAACACTCTATAAACCTTAAATAAAAAAAATGGAAGAGAGCAAACTATATAGTTGCTCGGGGTAGAAAATGTTTGCATTTCCCTGTAGAATTACCCTATTTTTTAAGTTTGTGGGCATTGTCTAGGTATGTCCTAGGTATGTCCTTGAGACAATATACTGTACATCACAAAATATTAGTATCAATGGATAACTTGGTTTTTCCTGGGGATAGGATTAAACATGACAGGAACTCAAGTCAGCACCAACCAGACAAACAACAAACAGGGAGGACACTGAGGAGGAGAGGTATAATAGGGCCGGCACAGTGGTTCAGTTTTTAGATGTGCTGCCTCACAGTGTTCAGCCCTGGATTCAATTCTGGACCTGAGGGTGCTATTTGTGTGGAGTTTGGATGGTTTCCACATGTTCACATATGTTTCCTCTGAGTGGCATTTGGACTGTAGGAGTAAAATTAGGCCTAGTGTGACTGTGTGCTGGTTTGTGTCTGTGTGTCTGAGACGGACTGACATCCCAACCAGGGTATACTGTTTCTTGCCTTGTGCCCTTTGCTTGCTAGGATGGACTCCAGCTCCTCCACAACCAAAGAGGTAGAAAATGTATGAATGGACTTCAATAATAGGGAGAATCCTGCATTTAACTTATCCATGTCTGTAGGAGGCATGTCTTGTAGCTCACAGAAAAATATCTGTATATTGTATTTATGACATTTATTGTAATGAAATAATAAATTACAGGTACGGATATTTGGTTTAAGCTTTCCTTCTGATTATTACTTATTAGTACTTGCATATTACCAAGCTGTGCTGGAGAAACCAAAAACACTTGTCATACACTTTGAATTCTTCGAGTACGTGGGGTGTAATTATTATTACTTTTTTTAATTGACTTGCATAGTCAGTTGTCAGAACTTTACGTTGACTTGATACTTATTTTAGATTGTTATTTGTAACATATGCACAATATCAGAAGAAGCTATCTTTTGAGCAGAAATGCACAGAACAAAAAAGGTCTCGGTCACATTTTTCCACACTTTTCTGGGGTGCTGGAGGGTAATTAAATCTGATCTGAAATGCTATGAAAAATTCATGGGATATGAAAATTGCAACTAAAATCACAAAATGAGCCAGTTGTAGTCAGCACTCAAGCTATTTTTTGGCCAGGAGTGAAACCCAAAGATCCAACACATACATTCAAAAAGAACTCTCGAGAGTAAAATTATAAGCAATACTGAGGTTTTATATCTCGCTCTTCAGTTAGCCTGCTAAACTAGGGATTCACAGTTACTCAGAGCACATTAATTACATTGACAGACATTCTGCAATGATAGACTATAAATCTCTGCTGAATAATTTACAGAATACATACAGTATGATAGCCAGGAAACTAATCCAAATGCATCATCAAAAGCTGACATTTATGAGCAAAGAAGGCAGGAATTCTGTTACAAAGATCAATGAGAACACCAAAATGAAACAAAAATATAAAGTAAAATAAGTTGTACCACTGTGATAGAGGTGCTCTTTGATGGCAAATAAATAAATAATGAGAAATAATCAAAATTTGTTTTTAGCATATGTGCTGTGCAATACAGGTGTCACTGCTAAGAACATACTGAAAAACTAAGCAGCATTTTTGATGAACTAAAACTGAAGGGGGACACTGGCAAATTCAAGTTTCTTACAGCCCACTGCTTACAATTCCTGAAATACCAAGGGCTGTAATGTGGCATTCAATAGCTGTCTTCATCCATGCAGGTGTAAGGTCAATCTCTTTAATGCACCTGAAGAACATTTCTTGAACATTTCCATGAAAGCACTGCCACGTATTTCCACCACCATCCTATTTTACTATGCTTTTTTTTTCCTGAGACATTCAAGCGTCTTCAAGTAAGATAAGATAAGATCACTTTATTAGCCATATACAATTTCTTGCATACCCCAGCTTGCTCTCCATGAGACACACAGACAGGGAGACAAGCTTGGGGTCAGAGTGCAGGGTCAGCCATTTATATGGCACCCTTGGAGCAGCTGGAGTTAAGGGCCTTGCTCAGGGGCCCAATGGAGTAGGATCCCTCTGCCAGCCGCGGGATTTGAACCGGCAACCTTCCAGCCACAGGCGCAGATCCTTAGCCACAGTGCCACTACCCCCCCCCCCCTTTAAGTGAATTGTTTTAAGATTTTTTGTGTGTGTTTTTTTCACAGGGAGCTTATCCATGTCTAATACTTTTGGGGCACGCACCTGTTGATCCGCCTGCTGAAAAAGATGCTCCGCTTGAGCCTTCTCCACAGTTACCCTCCTGTGCTCCGCCTCCATTTCCTCACGGGTCTCCCGGTTACATTCAGCTGCCAGCGCTGCCATTCTGGCCACATGCTCCTCCTTCAGCTTGCCCTCCATTCCCATCAGCTGTCCATTCAACACGCTGTTCAGTCTCTTCTCGGCCAGGGCCGAAACGCCACCGTTCATCTTCAGATTCCGGAGAAGCATGGCGACTAGGTCTTTGTAAACCTGAACTCGGAAACTCTCTAAGCTGGCCGCAGCACGCAGCAATGTTGACATATCCAAACTACAACAAGAAACATAGAACAGAGGAGGTTTCAGAAAGTGTTCACAGTTTTTCAATCTCCACGCCATTCATCAATGCTTTTTTTTTTTAACAGCTTCATCCAATTCAGGGTCACGGGGAAGCCGGAGTCTATCCTGGCAAGCAATGGGCACATCCTAGATGGGACGCCAGTCCATCTCAGGGCACTCACAGACACAGACACGCATGAACCCAACCAAAGACACACACAAAAATACACCAGGGCCAACCAGAAGACAGTTACCCTACCAGTGTATCCTTGGACTGCATGAAGAAACCAGAGCACCCAGAGGGGCACCCACAAGAACACAGCGAGAACATACACACAGCATGCAGATAGCACCCTAGTTCTGGGATTGAAACCAGAACCCCAGCTTTGCCACCCACTCCAGCAAATACAATTAGAGAAAAAAAAACATTAATGAACACTACTGAGCTCATATTACAGACAAGTTTCAACTCAAATTTCTGAACTTAGAATATTTTGGCTTTATCCTTAAAGAATATACAATTTATTTACCACAGGATCATAAGAACATAACACCACACAGTTTCATTTTTGTTTTGTAAATTGATCACTAAAACCATACATAACATTTTAAATGTGGTTTCAGCAATACATTACATAACATTCCTTTAAGTTCTAAGATCAACTATACAGTATATCCAAAATACTTTATAATCATATGCAAAGAGGTACAACATTTTCTTCACTTATTCTGTACTCATAAGAACAGAATAAACAAAAGGTTATTTTTAAATCTCAATTTTAATCTAGACATTTTTATAAATATACAGTATGACTGAAATTAAAATGATCAACTACAGATAACACAGATATTCTGCTGGCTTTATATATTCTGCTTTGCATAAAATAAATAAATATAAAAATAAATTACAGCAAAATGTTAGACTCCATTTAGTATAACAAATGCTGAAAAACACTCCACCCTAATCACAACACTGCCAGCGTTTCACCTTATTTTTCCACTTTTCTAATTGGTCTGTCTTTATATTTCTGCCCCCTCTAGGACACTAGCTCTTTCAAGACTGCATGGTGCCCTTCCTTCCTGGTAGCTCTTTA